TGTGTATGTATATATATAGGTTAATATAAATAAAACAATGGATATTTCAGTATGGATTTAAGACATTCTTCAGTGTGTCCAGTAAAAAAAATAAAATAAAAAAAACTGAATACACTGAAGAATGTCTTAAATTCATACTGAAATATCCATTGTTTTATTATTTTAAATGATCAACCTGCACATCCAGCTGAAAAGATGCTAAAGCACAGAAGAGTAACCTGTATAAGGTAGAAGTGATCTTCAGAACATGACAGCTTTTCCAGTTCAGAGTTTCTAGCATTCAGTTTAGCGATCTCCCTCTCCAGCTCTTTAATGAGACTCTCTACACGTTTCTCTTCAGTTTTCTGTTTGTGTTTCATCTTCCTGAGCAGCTCAGACTGGCTTCTATCAATAAACTGCTGCAGTGCGGTGAAGACTTCAACACTGTATGCCATCTCTCTTTCTGTGTTCTCCTAAAAGAGAAATAACAAATCAACATTTCAAGAAAGGGCTTGTGTTAAATGCATTCCTACTTTGGTAAGCTAATAGGATGAGATTCTTAAACACTTTAGGTGGCAGCTTTATCATCTGTTTTAGCAGTACATTTAATTTCAGTAATGGTTGATGTCACCTTGTCTACAAAGAACAAAGTTTTGAACATAATTACAATTAGATTTTAGTAATTAGTAATTGGGTAATTTCTATTCCACCTTTGACTAAATAAAAGTAGTGAATATAAACTGTAGTTTGTAGGCTCTTACTTTATTTAGTTTTATAGAGTGTCTGAGTTCATCAGCTTTACTCCATCTATCCATAATCATCCGCTTCAGGTCAGACTGTGTCTTTAATAACTGAGTCTATGACAAAGACAGAGAGAATATGGATGTCTCATGAAAATACAGAAACTACATGAGAATAACTGTAAAACAAAACACATGTTGATTAAAAAAAGACTGTGTCAAGACAGTAATGAAGATCTAATTATAATCAAGAATAATGATTCAAATTCAAATGTAAGGATTCCTCTTTAAAAATCATATGTAAAAGTGCTTTGTAGACTTTTTGATATAGGTCTTTGTTGTTTTGTGGTGAATTATGAGCCAGACAGGTTATTTGTGTGGTCACCCATTTATAACTTTTTTTTATCATTTTTAATAATTTATATATATATTTTTTTCATTTATGAGGCATGTTTGTTTTCCCATGTCAGATCAAATGCAAATCAACTGAAATGTAAAATATTTGAATTTGAAATTTGAAAATATTGCATGTTTGTAGACTTTTATATTAAAAATAACCAAAAACACAACAGTCAGTCTCCAGTAAAATAAGTAAAAATTTAAGTAATAAAAGTAATAGTAAATTATTATTATTATTATTATTATTAATTACATATGAACCTTTTTAGACATACCAACCATGAACTGACATTAAGTGATGAGACATTTTGCATAAACTTAATGCATAATGTTTTTAAATTTATTTATTATTATTATTATTATTATTAATCCTGTTAAATTTTGTTAGATCCTGAAATGCTGAATTCCCTGTGAATAACAAAACTCCTCATAATGAGATCCAGCATGTTGGAAATGGAAATGACACCAAAAGTAATCAGCAATGATGGTCTTGCAAATAATATTTATCTCACTGCACTATCAATCTAGTTAAATACAGTATCTGTACATATTGTTTGAATGTCTGGCAATAATATATTATATTATACCATTGCTTTTGCTTTGAATAAAATGGCAATCATTCACTGGACAAGTAGCAAACCTTTCTCTCTGCCCATTCTCTCTCCACTGGTATTGTGTGGTGTGTGCTGTGTTCTGTATTCATGCAGAGCACACAGACAGCAGACTGGTCATATCTGCAGTAAAGCTCCAGAGGTCTTTCGTGTATCCTGCAAATGCGCTTGTCCATCCGCTGTGGCTGCACCAGTGTGTGCTTGGTGAACCTGGAGGTGTGAGAAGTCACATGTGCCTCACAATATGATGCCACACACACCAGGCATGATTTTACAGCACAGGACACTTTCTCTAATGGGCACATGTCACATAAAACATTGTGTGATGTGACTGGACGATACTCTGCTGACCTCTGACCCCTCTGATTACGGATTTGTTTGGCCATTTCACGAGCAAAAGAATTTTCACAGAGCTCTGGTGTTTCCTGGAAAACCGTGGCGCATTTGGGGCAATGGGAGGAGCCAGATGCTGTCCACTGTGCAAGGATACATGACTGGCAAAACGTATGACCGCATGGGAGGGACACAGGAAGGGTAAAAACATCTAGACACACTGAGCACTGGAACAACTCCTTAGATAGAAGTGGGGTGGAGGATGACATCACTAGGGTGGATAAACAGGGAAGAAAAACACAGTGGTATCATGAATAATTGGATGTATTTAGAAACCAGGACAAATAACAAGATGAATATAAACACGAATGGGGTGGCAGATTTTACGTGTGGCTGGTGCCATTAAATAGAGCAAAAACTGAAATAGCAATGACTAAAGTTACAGTTAATAGTGACTATATTTATTTCCTCATTATAAACCCCAATACATTACACTCAGAAAGCACCAGAATCTATGATCTTCTTTAAAGGGGTCATATGACGTTGCTAAAAAGAACATTATTTTGTGCATTTGGTGTAATGCAATGTGTTTATGCGGTTTAAGGTTCAAAAAACACATTATTTTCCACATAATGTACATTATTGTTTTTCCTCTATGCCCCGCCTTTCTGAAACGCCTTTCGATTTTTACAAAGCTCATCGGTCTGAAAAGCGAGGTGTGCTCTGATTGGCCAGCTATCCAGTGCATTGTGATTGGCCGAATACCTCAAGCGTGTGACGGAAATGTTACGCCCCTCACCATACTGTTGATGCCGTGTGAGCGATGAGCGCCTGTGCGCCGGTGATGCGCGACGAGACAAAACCAGTAAAACCCATTACAAACGAGGCATTTGTTGCATCCAGTGGGGACATAATTACTGATTATAATGACTTATACTGTCTTTTTACGCGTTGCATATCGCGCATCGCGCAAACATAAACATAAAACCATGTCTGCATTTGTGATCGGAGAAACGACAAACAATAAGCCCAACTCTACACTGCTCAAAAAACTCGATTTAAATATATAAAATATAAAAACTCTTTAAATATAAAAAACGTACTTACAGGCTGTGAGTCAGAAGCGCCAGACTGTCCTTGAAAAGTTGGAACTGCCCCTGCCTTTGTGGTGTTCAGAAAGATGGCCCATCTAGTCATGACAATGTAATAAGAAGGAACAACAGATAGGCCCAACCCTCTATATTGCGAGTAAATCACTCGCATATGCGACTAAATCTTACTCTGGGCGACTAAATAATGTCTAACATTAGCCATTGGCTAATAAATTCTTAGATTTTACACGCCAGTATGTGTGTGAGAGGCGTTCAACACAGATTTTCACTCGATAAACACGCTGACAGAGCGCTTGAGAGTTTCGCTCTCCGTCAAGCGATCTGTACTATTTGGATGCGCTCAATGGATCATGTCATGTACTCAATGGATGAGCAGTATGTAGCACGCAGCGCACCTGTATTTGACGTAGTCTACTGTAAACTAGTGTGAAGGCGCACGACTCGCCGTCGCTTTACTGATAGCGCTGTGTTTCTCACACATGCAGAGAGAGAGCGAGAGTCTTGCATACCACGCTGAATCGACGCGCTGCATGTAAACCATATTCTTTGTTGTATTTTCCTGTCAAAATAACAGAGTTAATTTAGCAGAAGATATGATGGTTTCTCGGCAGTGGGCGGAGCTAATGCGCCAACAGCTCTCGTTGGCTGGCGCTCCTCTATTACCGTCCCTGTTTTGATTTCAGCAAATCAGTTCGAGCGAGTTCGAGGAACGTGATTAATATTCATGAACCCAGCAGATAATATAAGTAGTAGTAGTAGTATCTTTTAATTCTTTTAATAATTACCTATGACCAACAATATAACCACCACCAGTCCTAAGTTCAGTTAAAATGACAAATATGCATTCATTCATAGTTACCAAGTTTTAGTTCTAATCACTAGTTCTATCATTAAATAGTGCTTAATTATCATAATATCATAATATAATGCTTGATTGGCTGAAGTTAAGAGTGCACATTCAGTTATTTAAGAAGCTGTTCCATTTTACAAAGATAAGCTGATTGGGTGGAATCATGTGTGTGTGTGTACTTAACCATATTTTGGGGACAAATTTGTAACCAAAAGTGAGCAAAACCTGACAAAATCGGCAAAAACCTAAATTTGTGGATGTCCTCATTTGTAAAACTGGTATAAAAATAAAGTAAACAAAGTTTTTTTTTTTACTTTTGAAATTGTAAAAATGCAAAAAGTTTTCTGTGAGGGGTAGGGTTAGGGGTAGGGGTATATAAAAACAATAGAAGTCTATGTAATGTCCCCATTTAGATAGATAAGTAAACGTGTGTGTGTGTGTGTAAAATAGTATATCAATCTGGCGAGTAAATAAAAAAATGTACTAGCCAATGGCGATTATATTGCCAAGGTGTGCGTAGAGGGTTGAATGCAGAGGGTTGAATGCAGACATGGTTTTATGTTTGCGTAGTGCGATGCAATGCAATGCGTAGAAAGACAGTATAAGTCATTATAATCAGTAATTATGTCCCCACTGGATGCAACAAATGCCTCGTTT